ACAAAAATTATACTTTTTATATGTATTTATGTTAAGTGTGTCTAAAATTTTTTTAAAAAATTGCTTAAAATATTAAAAAATTTAGTAAAAATAAAAAAATACGGAAAATAAGAAAGTAAAATTTTCTGAAAACTGTTTTCAAAAAAATGAAATTAAATAAGCTGATTGTTATTTCTCTTGAAATTACATGAATAAAATATCTTTATTATTTTATATATATAAAGGCGGACAAATATGTTATTTTTAATCTGATATAAGGGTAAGTGCAATTTTTCAAATGTAAAGGGGGATCTGTATTAAACAGAAACCTTAAGGGATGTCGATGTAATTTACTCATTTTTTTTTTTATGACCCGAGAACCAAGATCGAGCCTGTTTATGACTCGACCTTACAAGTCAATTTGGGAGAATATTGAGGAATTCACCTCTCACCCTCCAATTTCAATAAAAATTTATGATGAGATTGGAATAGGTTTCAAACCAGAAACCTTAGATCACAGAAATCAGCTCTCACCCTCCAATTTCAATAAAAAATTATAATGAGATTGGAATAGGTTTGAAACCAGAAACCTTATATCACAGAAACAGTTGCCTTATCAACTCATTAAACTCTTGAATTGGAAAAGAGAAGTTCATTCCCCTTCAAATGAAATGGCTTATTTTGACTTAATGTACTAGGAAACGATGTCGTTTCTGTGTGATGTTGGAAACAAAGCCATTGGGCCCGAAGGCCTATGGCCGATCCCAAGCTCGCCAAACCCAGTGGGCTTTTACTTGCTCAAATCATTGGCCCGGGGCCAAATAGGCCTGCTCAAATGAGATTTGGACTTATGTTTGAAACTCGATTTGGTTCACAAGTTAGTTAAAAAACTCCGAAGGAATTTTAAAAATTTCTCTGTTCAAAACTCAGGTTGGTTGATTTGTGAGCGTCGATCTATTCTATGAACTTATTAGATAGGATATGAGCTTAAAATTTTGACTTGGAGTTTCGATAATAAAAGCCTTTCGGGCTTAACGTGTAGGTTAATTGGGCTATGATGATACAGTTCGTTTCAGGTGGAACGGGTCGGACTGATTCACGCTCCTCAAGCCTATGTCCGAATGACCAAGCCCACGGGGGAACCTGCACAAAAGTCCAATGGAGAACGGGGAGTCCCCCAGCGAACCCTCCAATGAGCAAGTTAGGAAGAGAAGTGAATTGTAGAGATAGATTAGAGATAGAAAGCTTAACCTTCTTCTTGTCTTCGACGTCTGCTCATATCCTCTGGTAATCATTTCGTTGTCCCTTCCGACCTCCCATCTTGGCCGAAAGTTTATGCTCTAGGTTGTCTTGTTCATGGTAAAGCCATTCAATCTCGACGGAGAAGGGTTATCGTAATAAATGCTGTAAGGGGCTTCATTAATGGCTGATGTGCAGTGTAATAACTTTGCAGGATATTTGTCTGCTTATGTGACTTGTCCTTCACCTGCCACGTATCTATAACATTACCAAAAACAGATCATCCAATGGTTTATGATCCATCTCAACAAAATGAAACAGGAACCAGGAACCAGGATTAATGCCTAGACCTTCTAAGGAACCATTAAGCTGTTGCTATTCATATGGACGATCCATGATTGAGAATGACACGGGGGGTACTTAGGATTTTTGTTCATTGAGAAGTTGCTCTAAAAACTTCTTACTGCACCACTAGTCAAGCCAATATCTATCATTTCAACCATTTTTTATCTAAAGCCCTCCAAAAACTAGCATAGTCCCTAAACATAATGACAATTCAACTAATTGAGCAAAGCATAGAGAATCTGCATATGTTTCTTGGAATATATAACCCAACACCATTGTATTATCACAATCCAAGCAACAATGCTAATGTTATCCCTTAAATGACTTTGTAAAATTACAATACCTCCACAACCCACCATTCAAGGAAGAGTAGATAATGTTCAACTATACAAAATCCAAATTCCTAATGATACAAAAATAAAAGGATAATAGATGGAATTTTTGTCAAGACCTTGATAACAAGGATTGCTACACATTTCTAGTTCACGATGCTATAGTAAAATTAGATATAGGGGAAAAAGCAAGATACTGAATAACGTCGATGGAAATGTATTCATATTCCTAGCTATGCTGAGATTACCATGTTTGAATACCTCACATTTTTTCAGCATAAGAAAGCTTTTCTTGTACCTCAAAGAGTAAAACCCCTAGAATGTAAATATTTGAGGAAAATGTGCATCCTTTCCCGCTAAGCTCCTCAGGACTGGTATACCACTTCTTCTCTTCCAATGGGCGCTTGCATAAGTAGACCGCAGTTGGGGTGTAAGCCTACTGTAGTTGCTCTCACTCTTATATTCTCTTCTCAGGTTATGCGCTTTGTTCAATTCATTCCAGGAATCCTTTAGCCCAGCAATACTGACATCAGTATCATGACCAGTTGCGGTTTTAAAGCTAGATCTTGATGGAAACTGATGCCACTGTCTGATAAAGTTCAGGTTCTCTCCAAACTTTTGCTTCTTTATCCGCTCACTAACAGCAGGATGCATCGCCTGTTCTAATGGCCTTTTCTCATTTCGATCATTTTCTGAGAGGAAACTATCCTGATCTATAGAATTCTCTGCAGTTTCATGCCGGACACATGATCCAAGGTATATAACCTGATTTGATGGCAACAACTTGAAGCAGGACGGCCGTAAGCCTTGCAAGGCAACTCCTTTAGCGTGAGAGATATCCACGAGACCCACAATTTGCCTAAATATATGAAAATTATTGACTTTATTTGCCTTATATTGCCCGGCTTTCAGCCATTCTCTCAGACTGACTCAATCATGAAAAGTATTGAGACAGGGACCCAGCCCAGGCCTGGCAACATCATGAGAAGGAGGCACAACAGTTTTAGAACTTGAACACAATGGTGCATTAGAAGCTACCATAGCAGTACTGGAGGCCTTGGAATCCGTCTAGCCCCTAATCACAGCACCAAATCCTTCACGAGCTAGACTTTTAAATATAACCCCCTTACTTTTCAGGGTATTCTTAACAAAATACTTAGAAAACCCAGATTTAGAAAGAATTTTTGTACTGATACCTCCAGGAGGTGCTAATGGATTGCTTACAACAACTTTGCTTTCATTATTCAATACATGTTCCACGTTATCATTGTGAACATCATCTGGTGGTTTTGGACCCAATAATTCTGGAAAAACTGTATATCCAACATCCTTCCAAGCATTTGATATTATAGCATCCCTATTGCTTGAGGTACTCACTATAGCTATGTTTTCATTCTTAAAATTTTGTAGTGTTAACTCTTCAGCCATGACCCCAGCATCATCCACACAATAAATACTAGCACTTAGACGTTCAAACACACAACCTCTTTCTGGGTTCTTGCCCTCTAAAATAGTTGTAAATGAAGGGGACGAGCCCCCATGACATTCACGCTCACTGGGTATCATCATTTCATGTGATTCCATCATACCAGCATGTTTGCTTTCCGTGAATACTCACCATCTTTGCTTTGAAAAAGTGTGTTATCCACAGCATCAATTGTAGCCAATTCATCACCAACTCCATCCATACTATCTGAGCAAACTTTATTCAATCATATTTTTGATTGCTGCAAAAATAATTTGCCAGCCAAAAACTGCAGAACAAGAGTAATCAAAATGGAATATGGTAAATTTTAAAAAATCATACAGTTCAAGAGGACGTTATAGCTATGCCATATTACAAATTTTCCAAGGGTAGAGCACCCAATCCAGTTCAAAGTTTTAAAAAACACAACACCAACATACAAAGCAATTCACAGTAATGACAAGAAATCAAGAAAGAATGTCAACACATATATGGTGTGTTTACATTCATATAGACAGAGGGAGGGAATTCAAAAATTAAAACACATAAATCAAAATTGCCATATTAAAATCTCACAGTAAAATTATCTATTAAACTAACACACTTCAGTGAAGAAGAAGAAGAAGAAGAAGAAGAAAGAATACAGCAAAAAATGCATCAACCTAGCTTTGGTGACAGCTTCCTAATCAGGTCAGACAATTTTCTTTCCCTTTTTCTTTTGGTTCTTTTCTAATCAATCACTGAACATGCCAAAAATGAAATTGTTCACATTTGCTCATGTAGTGTCTGTAAGAGGAGCTAATTTAAGCCCACTAAATTATTTAGGCCCAATGGCCCAAGATTAGTGGGCCCAAATTTATCGCAAGTCCAAGATTGGTGGATTGCTGCAAAAATAATTTGCCAGCCAAAAACTGCAGAACAAAAGTAATCAAAATGGAATATGGTAAATTTTAAAAAATCATACAGTTCAAGAGGACGTTATAGCCATGCCATATTACAAATTTTCCAAGGGCAGAGCACCCAATCCAGTTCAAAGTTTTAAAAAACATAACACCAACATACAAAGCAATTCACAGTAATGACAAGAAATCAAGAAAGAATGTCAACACATATATGGTGTGTTTACATTCATATAGACAGAGGGAGGGAATTCAAAAATTAAAACACATAAATCAAAATTGCCATATTAAAATCTCACAGTAAAATTATCTATTAAACTGACACACTTCAGTGAAGAAGAAGAAGAAGAAGAAAGAAAGAATACAGCAAAAAATACATCAACCTAGCTTTGGTGACAGCTTCCTAATCAGGTCAGACAATTTTCTTTCCCTTTTTCTTTTGGTTCTTTTCTAATCAATCACTGAGCATGCCAAAAATGAAATTGTTCACATTTGCTCATGTAGTGTCCAAGAGCACAAAAAATGTAAGGCGGCGAAAAATATGACTACAAACAAATTCTTAGACTTGTGGGAGGTTTTTGGAATTAAAGCTAAAAGTATAAATTCCTAACATAAAGATGATACAACCTGACTTAAAAAGGAAAGAAGAGCATAGGGATGGAGAAGGCTAAAAACATAACAGAGAGTGATGCCACTTGTGTTGAGATTGTTTGGGAAATGAACTTGAAATGGAAATGTCAAAACTTTCCACATTAATACCCCTAACTTAGAGAGAGAGAGAGAGAGAGGAAGTAAGTGTATGGCTGAAGAGTGGTTGGCTGGAATAAACCAACTCTTGTTACTCTTCAGCCGAAGTAAGTGTATGGCTGAAGAGTGGTTGGCTGGAATAAACCAACTCTTGTTACTCTTCAGCCGAAGTAAGTGTATGGCTGAAGAGTGGTTGGCTGGAATAAACCAACTCTTGTTACTCTTCAGCCGAAGTAAGTGTATGGCTGAAGAGTGGTTGGCTGGAATAAACCAACTCTTGTTACTCTTCAGCCGAAGTAAGTGTATGGCTGAAGAGTGGTTGGCTGGAATAAACCAACACTTTGTACTCCTTAGCCGAAGTAAGTGCATGGCTGAGGAGTGGTTGGCTGGAATAAACCAACACTTTGTACTCCTTAGCCGAAGTAAGTGCATGACTAAGGAGTGGTTGGCTGGAATAAACCAACACTTGTTACTCTTCAGCCGAAGTACGTGAATGGCTGAAGAGTGGTTGGCTGGATTAAACCAACACTTAATACTCCTCAGCCGAAGTAATTATGTCGGCTAAGGAGTGGTTGGCTGGTAAGTATAGTTTAACCAACCAAAAACCGAAATAACACTTGGAGTAATAGAAGACATTACAAAGTGCAAGCATACACACAATAACCGGAATAAGAGAAGTAAAATTTTCATTCGAAAGAGAAGTCATTACAAGGGGGTTTAGTTCGGTTACAAAGAAAAGAGTACAAAATTAAGAGAACAGTTCATCAATTTCGGCGTCAAAGGCAGCATCAGCATCAGCATCAGCAGGTAGACCGGTTTCAGGCGCAAGGACGTTTTCAGTAGGGAGAATGGTTTCGGCCGGAGCCACAGTTTCACTTGGTTGATCAATAGTCAGATCTTCCACCATGGGCTCCGACCGAACTACTTGCTCTGCATCCACCACCGGAGTATCCTCAGGGGCAGAGTCTTCATCAGAGTCTTCATCGTCTGAGCCCTCAAGAAACTGCCGTTGCATGGCTTGGGCATATTCCAACAGGGAGTTCGGTATAAAGTAGGCCGGAGGGTTGAAAACCTCGGTTTGAGGATCATAACCGAGCTTCTCAACGGCTCCCCTCCAGTCGCACTTAAAGAATAACTCCTTGGCGGCATTGCACTGTTGGGCATAAGCATCCTCTGCCCTCTTGAAGCCTTGTTTGTCAGCTTCCTTTGCCCTCTCCTTCATTTCGGCATCTTTCCTCCTTTCAAGCTTTATCAGCTCGCGTAAGTACTTGTCCTTCAGCACAATGGCAGTCTTTTGTTTTTCGGCCTCGGCCGAACTAACCATTCCGGTCAACCGTCCGACCTCACCTCGGAGTTCGGCCATTTCCTTCCGGGCCTCTTCTAGTTCGGCCGATTTCGCCTCTGCCGCTGCCACTGCTTGCCTAGTCACTTTCCTGAGCTCCAGTACTTTCTTGTGGGTGATTTGGTTTTTCTGAATGGCCTGACAAAGCAACAATTTCCCTTTAGCCGAAGTAAAGGTTGAAAAGAAAAAATAAACAGAAAAACGACCGAAGTTACTAACCAGAATCATGGATTTGGTCGCAGACCGGATGGACTTCAGCTCAGTAGTTAATTGTTTTTGGTGATGGTCCATGTCTTTGGGCAGACACACACTCTTGGCCAAGTTGATGGCCAACAGGTGGTCTTTCTCGGCAACAACCGAGTCCGTGTCTCGAATGTCTCGGTCGTTAAATGTTAGTCTTAGTGCCCAGCTGCCGGTAGTTCGGTCGGAAGGCTCCGGTTGGGGGCTTGGTGGTAAGCTCGGTTGGATAGCATGTTCTTCTTCATCAACCAAAACCTGTTCGGTTTCGGCAGTTCGTGCACGTTTGGTTCGGCGGGAAGAGGACGGCTGTTGAGAAGGAAGGGCTACAACAGCAGGCTGCGACTGACTTGGAGGCGTCACTTCGGGCCTAGTTGTTTCGGTGAGAAGGGCCCTGACTCTGCTCTTCTTTGTCATTTCTTCCTCAACAGTTAATGGAACAAGTCTTATTTCGGGCAAAGTTGGGTCCGGCTCTGGTGCTTCCTCAAGCAGGAAATCGGTTACTCTTGCTTTTCGGCGACCGCTATATCGGTAAGTCGGCTCGAAATTTAGAAGCTTGGCCCAACCTCTTTCTTTAACCCGTAGTGCGGCTCGCAAAACCCCAACCTCTTTCTTTAACCCGAAATGCGGCTCGCAAAACTCCGAGGTTGGGGTAGCTATACAAGGAACGGAGATGGGCGAAATCTGCAAAAAAGAGAAGTGTTAGTTCGGCTAGTAGACTAAACAACCGAGATAACGCACACAGCAGAAGACCGAAGTAAAATTACCAGGCTCTCCCATTTTCCAATTTATAGGTCGGCCAGGAATTTGAGCTTGAAAATCCTCAAAATTCCCAGAGACCCAGAAGAAGTCATCATCGTTAAGATCTTTGTCCGGCGTGTGCTTAATTATCTTCTCTCGGCGGCGGCGAATCCTAAGGTAGTAGACCCACCCAGCATTCTTTGAGCCGATGGAATACTGATGGAATATTTCGGCAAGGCCAAGGTTTAAACCGGTTTGGTGGTTTAGTGCGGCTATGCCCATAATAATACGGTATGTATTGGTGGACAGCTGGGTGGGGCATAACCTAGTCTGCCTAAGGAACTCACAGATCAGTGGTTGGACGGGAAACCGTAGTCCGGTTTCTATTATGGATTGAAGAGTAAATGGGACGAAGCCTTCATTTTCCCAGGGTGTGATGCCTTTTTCGGCCAGAACCAGCTGGACGTCGTCAGGTATTTGGTAATCATTTCTAAATTCGGCTAGGCCGCCCGGGGTCTCAACTAAATACCTATACTTACCCATTTGTGGTATAATTTAACGAATAAGTTATTTCGGTGCAATAATCGTGCTCAGAAGCTCGGTTGAGCGCACGCAGGAGTGCCTGGGTAACCTAAGTCTGCAAGGTAAAAAACAGAGGGGGTTAAAGCACTGATCAATGGACCGTGCTACAATTCAAAAGCAAGGTATAAAAGCCCTACTTCGGCCTCAAAAAGCTGGCTTTATCTCGGTTCATCAAAAGGGTTGGTAGTTCGGTTTGAGTAGTTTGCTCGATAGACCGGTTAAAACGTCTAGGGGCAGCTTTCTGAGTTCGGTCTAAGAAACTAAGAAAGCTGGTTTAGCCCCAAGGCCTAAATCGGTTGCAGTGTGAATAAAATTACTTCGGTTAAGCCTCTAGGGGCGGCTTTCCGAGTTCGGTTTAAGAACTAAGAAAGCCGGCTTGGCCCCGAAAGCTTAGCTCGGTTATAGACCGAAGTACCTAGTTCGGCATGTGCAAGCTTGTTTGGTGATCTTATCTTGGCTAGAGTGGTTCAGAAGGAACTACTGATATTCCTAAAGTTCTGGTTCGGTTGATGACTACAGAAATCTACATATTTGGGGCAAACAGGATCCTAGTTCGGTTGCAATGGGATTTTGGATCTAAGACTGGTTTTCTACATAATAGTTCATGCATACATGAAGTTCTACTGGTTTCTTCGTAAAAGTACGAAAGCAAAACAGACAAAACAAGATCAATACATCTTTGGAACTGGGACTAAACTGTTCTTTCAAAAAACCAAACCAAACTATACGATTTGAAGTGATTTGAATCAATTTGACATATTTTTTTAGAATAGGAACTAGTTTGTTACAAGGCTCTAATTCTTGCAATGTTTGAACCCTCAGGTGGACTATATTCTTGGAGACAACCCAAGAGCTACAAGTTATATGGTAGGCTATGGAAACAACTACCCACAACAGGTTCATCACAGAGCTTCCTCCACTGTCTCCTTTAAGGACAACCCTTCATTTGTCAGTTGCCGTGGAGGCTATGCCACATGGTTTAGCAAGAATGCAAGCGATCCAAACCTCCTAACAGGTGCTCTTGTTGGTGGACCCGACGCTTATTTATGACAACTTTGCTGATCAAAGAGACAACTATGAGCAAACAAAGTCAGCTACCTACAACAATGCTCCTCTTCTTGGCATTTTAGCAAGACTACACAGTGGACATAGCGGCTACAACCAGCTCCTTCCAGGTATGTATATGGGTTATAATCTGAAATTTTGTCACTTACTTATTTCTTGATTCTATATGATTAAGAATAACATTTTCTCTTGCTGATAATGTTTAATAAATTTGCTTTACAGTGACCTTTCCAGCCCCTAAAACCCAGCCAAAGCTTGCTCCAGTTACCGGAACCACACCATCTCAAGGTATTCTTGCAATCCTCATGCAAAGACATCCCTGTTGGACTTTGTCTAATTCTAGGAAGCACGTACACTTCAAATTGGGTATTGTGTCTGTGTCCAACATGTATTGGATACCAACACACGATTGATACGTGTGTTCACATTTAGACACGCCACTTGAAGTGTTAAATTTTTTTTATTATTATTATTTTGCATAACACTTAACGGATACATGTGTCATATGTTTGGACATGCCTACACTTTTATGGATTTTTTAAAATAATTTTAGAAAGCTTATTTGAGTTCAAAGTAAAGAAACAAAAAGATGGAAAGTGAAGAAAAATAAAAATACACACATACATTGATGCCTCTTATATCTTTATACTCAAAATTTATATCTATAATTTTATTTTATTTTTGGTTTACTATATCCCCAATATATCTTAATTTTTTCAAAATTGTTGTGTCTCATGTCTGCGTCCATACTACTTCGATCCAGAGGTTGGAAGAATTTCTTGTGACGGACACATGTCCGGATCACTGTACAACAAGGGTAAACCCGGGATCGCTATAGCCTGTAATTCCAAATGTTGATCTAATATGGGAATAATTAAATCTAATGTAATTTGCTTGTTTCGCAGTTTCGTCTTCTGCACCCATTGCCATTGAACAAAAGATGACAAGTTCATGGGATTACAATGGCAAGACTTACTACAGATACTCCACAACTGTGACAAACAAGTCACCCAAAACACTGAAATTTCTCAACCTTTCAATCTCCAAGCTCTACGGTCCTCTGTGGGGCCTGACAAAGTCGGGCGATTCATATGTTTTTCCAGCATGGCTCAACTCTCTAACAGCTGGGAAGAGCCTAGAGTTTGCTTACATCCACTCTGCCTCTCAAGCTAATGTCTCAGTCTCAAGCTACAATTTGGCCTAAAATTACGAAAAGAGGTGGCTGACACGGGTTTTTCTTGGGTTGTGATGCGAGAATTGGGATTTTTCAGCTATACAAGATGCAATTTGGAAAGGAATTTGTTCTTTTAAGTTGTAATTTTTCAATTACTTGTTGATTTCGAATTGAGAGTAGGTTTGCCGATGGAATGTAAGGAGGGAGAAAGGCATGAAGAGATGATTAAACAGGTGTGCTCATCCTCTTTCTCCTCCACTTCAGTAATTACTAGCATAGATAGTTTTGAGACACAGATAGGGCAAGTGTGCATGTTGAGAAGAAAATTATTTCTCAGTATGACAAAAAAAAAATCAAGGAGTTTTTTTTTTTTTTTTTTGTGTGTCCTTTAAAAACAACTTTGAGTGCTCTCTCTCTCTCTCTCTCTCTCATGTAATTGTATTTCCAAAATTTCACTCTCTCTCATGTAATTGTATTTCCAAAATTTCACATTTGCAATACGAATATAGTTTGTGCAATGACAAAAGATTTCTCATTGTTTTATCATTTGATTGATGAATCTTGGTCTATGTATTGAATTCTTTTTCTTGGTATCTTTGTTTCAAGTTCACATTATAATTAAGTGCTCCAGTCTTTCTATGCCTGTGTTCTTTGGCCATTTTTATATAAATTATAATGTTTTCTAAACAATTTTAGGAAAAATATATCATTAAAAAAATTAGACCAAAAAATGGTTGTTGAGTCGGCACAAATAGGGACCAAATCTTAGTATTCCAGTTCTCCCAATTGGATATCTGGTGACTAACCAATACAACCTCAAGTATGTACCTGCAAAGTAATAATAATGATAACAATATCTTCAGAAAATTTCAGGATTTAATTAAACCTTGGTGTTCTAATTTTTCATTGTAAACCTCTCTGTTTTTAAATTGATACAATTTGAACAATCTGTCCATCCCTGTTTAAAGCCAATAAACCTTTCTCCTTTCAATACCAAATTTATCTTTCAACACAAAGGATGGAAATTTCCTTTTCATGTGTTGAAGACTAGAAAGATGAATAATTAGAGAAAACACAGCTTCGATAGAACGGAACAAGATTTGGTTTTGGCATACATTAATAGAACTATGAAAAGTGAAATTGAATCCAACAAATTAACATGATTGGTGACACATTGGTTTGCAAGTTTTGTTGATTTGTATAGCACTAATCATCAAGGTTATACAAGTAACCAACAATATATAGAGAGTGGGATGCCAAAAGGCCAAAACTGGCAATAGCATCGAAGAATGAAGAACCTTTTTTAGGGCTGTTAAAATTTAGAAAACACCATCTTCAGGCAGTTTGCTTACTTTGCACCCTTGTACATGTTGTCAACAATGTTCTGCAATGCAACACAAAGATTTCCCCTTAGTACTGTGCCACCCAAAAAAAAAAGAGTACTATAAAGTAGTCATAAACAGAAATGACAAATTAACAAATTCCAAAAAAGTTAATTGGAAATTTAAGTCGACTAAAAGTTCTTGCATGCACTAGTTGCTTGGCAGATGGCAACATGGAGTGAACTAGAAATCTCCAATGTTCAAACACTCATGGCCAAGGGCGGAACCAGGATTTTAACTCGAGGGGGGTCAATTTTTGGCTTTTCTTCTCCACAGATTATTCTAATACATATTTTTCTACAATGAAATGATTTCCTCCCGATTCCTCTCAAGTCTCACCCGAAAAAAATTAGAATTCTAATACACATTTCACATATTTCAAAACATTTTTGGGTCAAAGCATCTAGTCAGTGAACATAGTACAATGGCATGCCATAAGATTCCTCGAGAGAATCAAGAAGAGCTACCTGGTAGTATTTGAGCAACTGAGGCCTCTTCTTCTTGAATGTTGGGGTCAGAAGGTCACGTTCCATGTCGAATGGCTCGGGGTCAAGATGAACAGCTTTTATAAATTCAAACCCTTTCAACTGCCAGGCACATCACAAAAGTTTCAGAAATCTTCTGGAAGTAAATAACGTTTTCTTCCCCTCTGCTAACTCAGATTATTATTCAATTATCAAATGGAAGTAGAAATGAGAGGTGGTTGGAAGTGTAAAAGACACAAACCTTCTTTTCCTTTCCAATCCGTGTGAGCTCTACAAGTACGTTTTGTTTTGCCTTGGGATTTTCACAGAGGGAATTGAAATCCCCAGGTACACCATTTTCTTCAGCCCAACGTTCAAGTACTTGCTTATTTGGGTTTACAACAGCAACAAGGAAAGACTCAAAGCTGTTCCCATATACCCATATCTGAGATTGAAATTCAGACATAATCAAACACAAGAAGATTCTGGAATAAACAAAATGCTCAATCTCCTAGCCCCAAAGTACAGGCATAGATTTGACCATTCATTAAGTCACTCCAAGGATTGTTTCCAACAGGAAAAAGTGCACAAATGTGAGAAATGAGAACATTCTTAGCAGATCCATAAGCATGCACAAAAGCATGAATGAACAAGTATATAGATATCCTCAAGTTTTAACAATAAAGAATAAGTTGGACCTCAGGATGCACACATCAAAATCAACCTATGGCAAATATCTTGTGCCTTAAGGGCATGTTTGATTGGGTGGATTAGAGCATGGGATTGAGATTATTAATCCGTGGGCCCAATTATTCTATGTTTGTTTTAA